CGCTTCGTGCTCCTGCACAACGGAGAGGCGGACCTGGGGCCGCGCCTGGGGGGCTCGCGCACCTTCCCCCGCCGGCCGCCACCGCCCCGGCCAGTCTGCGAGGCCGCGTCCTCCGCGCCCCCCGCGCCGCGCGCCGCAGACAGGCCAGGCGCGCGCAGGCCCGCGCCTCCCCGGGGCGCGCCGGGACGGCCCCTCTCCGCCCCGCGCCGTCCCCGGCCGCCCGGCCTCGGCGCGGGCCCTGCCGGCACCCAAGGCGAGGAGACCGCGGCCCCCGGCCCCGAGCGGCCGCGCATGGACGGCAGGGACCCGGCGCGGGAGCCCTCCCCGCAGCCGCCGGAGGAGGAGCGCCAGCCACCGCGGCTCCTAGACCTCGGCGCCCGCGCCCCGCGGCCCCCGCGCGCGGCCGCGCCCTCTGGGGACCTATAAAGGCTACTTCGTGACAAACGCGGCCTCCACAGAGGGTCTGGCCGGCCGCCGCCCCGGCCCGCGAGCCGACCCACCAGGGCGACCCGCGTCCTTCCCGCTGCCCACCAACCCCGACTCCACCGCCGCCCTTAGGGCGAGGTGGGGGCTGCGGGAAGGAGGTGTGCCCGCCCCCACGACGCCGGCCTGTCCTCCCTCCTGGCGCGGCGCACCGCCTCCTGATCTCCTGCCCAGGGCCCTGTGCGGCTCATCCCCCAGGACCCGCCTGCAGCCCTCATGACCCCCAACTCCAGCCTGGCACTGGGATCCGCCACAGTGAGGTTTCTCCAGGAAAGGTCTGGATCCCCATGGACTCTTCGGAACCCCTCTGGATTGCTCTTCTGGGGCTGCCCATGGCTCGCCCGGACCCTGCCCAGCACGGCTTTTATCTGGGCCTTGGACACCAGGCAAGGGCACTCTCCATAGCCCCACAGCCCCCCTTCCCCACAGAGGCCCAGACCTTGGAGGTGAAGGGCCCAGGGCTTTTGGTAGTGGTCCCGGAAGAATGTGGGGTCAGCACTGGCCAGGCCCCAGCAATCCTGAGGCCTCCCACACTACTCCCCGTGGGCCTGGGATTTGAGGAGAGAACTCCAGCACTCTGGGCCCTGAGGTGTCTAGGCCCTCCACCCAGTGGCCAAGGCATTACCTTACCCGCGTAGGAGGCTCCCCTCTCCAGGGGTCCTGCAGGCCCCCAGCTTGCACACACTTCTGCCTGTGCTACCCCAACTCCAAGTGGTCATGGCCAGGCATCAAATCCTCCTGAGCTGCCCCACTGCTGACCTTCCCTTGTCCAACAGAGGAGCCAGCTCCACCCCAAATGCAGAGTGGCTGCTTTCTCTCTGTCTGCATTGGAGTGATGGAAGCATCTGAGGGGGCCAGAGAACCTGTCTTGGGGCGCTGGCTCCCTACCCCTTGCAGGCAGGGCTGTTGCCATCCAGGGATGCAATTCCATGTCACCACTAGAGGGCGCTGTCTGCCACTGTTTCTGGCCAGCATACACAGGGACCCGTGCAGCCAGGAACAGACAGGGACAGGGGCTCAAAGAGGTAAAGTGAACCCCCCCCCCAATCACAGAGCCCCTGGTCGTGGAGACCCTGGGGGTACACCTGTGGTTAGCCCATGCCACAGCTCCCATACACACTGCCTGCCCTGTCCTGGGTGCTCTATCCAACCCTGACCCAAGTCTAGTCACCCTGCTGCTGTGGCCCACAGCCTGGAGTCCCACCTGCTAGGCAAGAGCACACAAGTGTTCCTGTGGGAAGGGCCCAGCTCTGGAGTCCACCAAGGCCAGGGAGGGGCAAAGACCCTTTGAGGCCATATTGCCAAAGCTCCTGGCTACTGCAGCCATGTCACCTTAGGGTCACCTCTTGCTCTCTCCCTCTGCTCTTGTCACTGAAACCCCTGAGCCTTGGTGCCTTATAGGCCTCTTGCCCACTCTAGCGCCCAGCCCAAGTTGGGGTTCTGTTCCATGGTGGCCTCACTACTGTCACAGAACACTGCAGCACTCCTCACCTCCCACAGTTGGGCTATTGACCTCAGGTTCAGGGGCCTCAAGATGTCAGCAGAGGTGACAGAGCCCTTGGGAAGTGCTCCCCTGCTGCCTTGGGGACATGAGCCTGCACTAGACCTGTTCTGAGAAGGGCCCACTGGCAGTGCTTGGCCCTGTTCCTGATGAGCTCCCCAAAGGCCAGGACTGTATCTGGCAGCCCTGAGTGCCCAGATGTCAATAAAGGATGTTTCCTGAGATTCCCTGCTCCTTATTCGTTCCACAGGAATGACAGCCACATCCCGCCCCACGGGGCCCTCCCCAGCTCCTCCCAGCCCACATGCATGCTTTGAGGTGCCCTCTAGTCCAGGACTGCAAGGGGGGTCCCAGGGAGAGGTGGGCTGCGGAGCCCTGAGCCCTGGGTGTCTGGCAGGTGTGAGGTCTTTAATTCAGGCAGAAAGAACCAGCAGGGTCAGGGGACCTCACAGACCTGCTGCTGGAGAGGTGACCCTCCCTATCACACTCCCTCTTTCTCCCTCTCTCCTCTGCCCACTCCTTTTCCCTTCCTCTCTCTCCCAGGGCTAAATTCTGGGGTCCTGCTGGTGGGCAGGGAATTCAAGAAGTGTCCTCTACCAGCAGAAAGTATAGGGAGTCAAGTGGCCCCGAGGCCTGACCCAGGCTCCCATCCCTGCAGCCCACAGGGGCCGACCAGGACAGACCCTCACAGGGCACACACTGGGGCCTGCCTCGGCCAGGGCTACTGAGCACCTGGGGTCAGCCAGACTAAGGTCTACTGGGGCTGTCTGCTCACCCACCCCTAAGCCCCTTTCCCCTTGGAAATATCTGGTGGGATGGGGGGCAGAGGCCAGAGCAGCCCTTGACCTGAATCACCATTTCTGGAAAGCACCCCAAATCTTGGAGCTTTCTGGAAAAATGAGGCGATGGGTGAATGTCTGCCTGCCTGACCCAGGAGGGGGTGAGCAGCTGGCTGAGGGGCAGCCCCTCAAGAGTGAGCCGTCCTCTGGTAGGGAGGATGGGACAGTGCCTATCTGATCACATGGGGGCACATCCCAGCCACTGGGGCTGCCAGGCCCCGCCTGCCCTCTAAGGCCCCTCCAGTTGTTCTGAGACTTGGGCTGGGGGCAAGGGCTGGTGGCCAGTTCTGTCTAGCAAAAAAGTCTTTTCCCCATCCTCACCTTAACTCTCCCCAGCTGGAAGGAGTCTCACCCTTAGTTTGCGGTCCTACCCTGCCTGAATGCAGATCTCAGTGAAGGGAGGTGTCTCTTTGAGAAAGGTGAGTGGGTGGAGCTGGGCTGGCAGGCACCAACTGTGGCCGGAAGCGCTTCTGGGAACAGAGATGGCCTCTGGGGCCTTATCTGAGGCTGAACAAAACCTACCCACTGTGGGGCGGCTGGGGAGAGTTGAGGCCAGGGGAGCTGCGGTTTTCCGGAAGAGCTGGAGAGCCTCCTATGGGAGGGGTTGGCCTGGGCCGCCTCGGGGTGGGGGGGCAAGCCTGTCCCCCCCCCCCCCCCCCCCCGCCAGCCAGCCTCACCTGCTCCCACCCCAGCCCCTCTGGGTCTCCATGCGCCTCCAGGCAGCCCTGGGCTCTGCCCCCACACCTGGATCTCACGCAGGTGGACCCGGGCCAGGCAGGGGCTGAGGGGGGACAGGGAGTGACGCCTGCTGAGAGCACGGAGGGGGCTGGGCCGGCAGCGGAATCCCCCACCTGCTCTGCACAGACAGCCTTCCGCCCCCACCCCCGTGCTGTGCTGACGTTTGGCCCAGTCGCCCCCACGGGGCCGCCCCCCAGGGGTTTCCAGCTGAGTCAGCCCTGTGTAACCTTGGCGGACCTCGGTGCTTTGTGGGGACACCCCCAGAGGTGTCCTGAGGGGAGCAAGGGTGGGGTCCATGGACCTGCAGGGGCGCAGTGAGCCCAGAGAGCCCCCCAGTGCCCCTTCCAGCTGTGCCAGGCCTGGTTGGCCCAAGAGTTTACGTTGCCTGATCTGCCTCACTCCCCCACCCTGGGGTGAGGGTAGGCTCCCGGCAGCTCCCAGAGCACAGAGAAGGTGCTGGTAAAAATGCTGATGCGGTGTCTTAATAAAAGGGTGGCCAGAGGTAGATGACCACTGTCCACTATCCAGCACGTCCCCAGCTGTCCCTGGGCTTTTCATGTTCTGGGTCCTCTTGTCACCCACTCCCACCAGTCTAGGCATGCTTCAGTCTTTCCCAGGAGCCTGTGTGCTGGGGGCCTGACACCCCAGATTGCAGGTCACTTATCTGCTGTGGGCTGGGCCCACTGCCCACTGCCACTGGGAGCTGAGGGGGCTGAGGGCAGATGGAGATGGGGAACGCGTGGGGGGCTGAGGGCAGTGGCCAGGTATGCACATGCCCCAAGGTGCTGCTAAGACTGGTCCCCACTGGTCTGCCACTCCCCGGACAGCCTTGCCAAGACATCCCTATCAGATCTCTCCAGTAGCAGCTGCAGCTGGGGCTGCCAGGAGGCTGTGAACATGCTCTGCAGGGTGGGACCAAGTGCCATGCCCTAGAGAGAGGGATCCAAGGACAGGAGAAGGCCCAGCGCCAAGGCAAGCCACCTGGAGGCTGCTTCACATCAGAAGTGCTGGGGCGGAAAGTGACCAAGTCTGAGTCCCTGGGTACGGGGCACAGTGAGGCAAGTCAGGTGGTGGGCAGTGCAGAAACCAGTCTCCACTGGCTTTCAGAGGGGTGGTGGCCCAGAGACCACAGGTCCAGCACGTGGCAGCTCAGTGGGGGCCAGAAAAGCAAGGAGAGGTGGTCTGGCTAAGCACCAAGAAGGCAGGTCCGGTGTGGGGCCTCTCCTCCGGGAAGCCTCCTGAGCCCTGTGGCCCCTGCCAACTGGCTGTGCCCAGGACTCCTGAACTGTGCTCCCCCACCCCAGCTGGGAGCTCCTGGGACGGGACTTGGCTGTGCCTTTGAAGCCTGGGAAAGGGACCATGGGTGTGGGTGGACAAAGTGCCCCGAACCCCAGCCCTGGGCTCCCTGCCCTTCTTTCCATCCCCCATTACACATCCACTCAGGTCACTGAACAAGTGTTTATTGAAAACCACCTGCAGCCAGGTTCCCCTGCTGGACACTGCACACCCGTGGGGGGACCACAGACCCCACCCCAGCAGGGCTGGCCCGGGAGGAAGGCAGTCATGGCTGCCCATCTCTCCCACAGGGCCAGCCATGGCCACCACCCTCCTGCAGAGTCTAGGGAACTTGTCACTGTCACCATCCTGTACCCACTTCCACCGTTGAGGGGAGCAGGGCCGGGCCCAGAACACATGGAAAGCAGAGCCCTGGCTCCCAAGGGTCAGCCTGGGCAAGCTCCTGGGGAGGGTCTGGCTTGGGGTGCAGCTTCTCCTGAGGATGGTCAGCCTCACACCCACGGATCCCCCCGCTCGTCCTTCTCCAGCCGCTCCCCCCGCTCCTCCTCAGGGAACTGGCAGCTGCAGGCATCCTCTGCTGGTGGGCGGAGCACCTCTAGAAGTGGCTGGGTCTCTGTAGGGGGGTCGTGGTCAGCAGGCAGCCTGAGCCCTCCACCCTCTCTCCTCCCCTAGGACCCAACTGACCTTGAGGCCACGTGTGCTTCCTCCTCAGCTGCCAAATGTGTAGGCTGAGCTGGGCTGTGGTCAGGACGAGGATGCAGGTGGCCATGGCCACGAGGAGGATGGTCAGCTGGCCATGTGGCTCAGCGGGCAGAGACCCCAGGAAGCATACAGCATTGTGAGTTTTGTTCCCATGGAACATGGTGAGAAAACCAAACTGGTCGCAGCTGGGACACAGACACAGACGCGGTCAACCTTGGTGCTCTGGGCTATTTAGGGGATCACAGGGCCCTCAGGGGTGGCCACCCTGGGAGGGACAGGACAGGATCCCTTGGAGCTACATGGCCAAGGCCTCGCTCAGCACTCACTCTGTCCAAGGTCTGCAGCGGCCCTCGTGGCCACTGGAGAAGGTCCCCACAGCGCAGTCCACACACCTGAAGCCGAACTTGAACTTCCCTAGGAACAGACAGTTGACAGACTGCAAGAAGCACTGGAGTAGGTGAGGACACAGGCCGGCGACAGGGTCCCCTGGAGTCTGACCCCATGGTTTCCATTCACCAGAGGTCTCTGATGCCCACAGGACAGGAGTCCTGCACAATCAGTGCCCGCGTGTACCAGTGACAGAGCTGGTGCAGATGGACAGGGCAGGTAGCAGGCCCTGAGTCATAGTTAAGAGTGAGGGGCTGGAATCCAGACAGCTCCTGGACACCCCCACGGGCCCTCAGAGCCAGCCCTGAGGGTGTGAGCAGCACAGGCCCAGGATATGAGGGCAGGAGCTCCCCTAAAGCTGCATAGTCAGGAGACGGCATCCGAGATCCTGGTCCCCGTGCTCAGAGGATGCACCCACACCCCAGCAGACGGCACCCTGCCCACCACACTGCCTGGAGCTCTGGGTCTGCCTCACACAGCCAGCAGTGGCCTCCCAGGGACTCACCTTCAGGCACTGCTTCCTGGCCTGGAGGGCAGGGGTGGTGTGTACAGGTCTGGCATCCAGGGTCCCCGCAGTGGAATTCGGACTTGACACATATACAGTCAGAACAGTTCTTCTCATCTGGGTGGACAGTGAGCCAGCCTCTCAGCAGCCAGCCCGAGTCTCCTCCTTCTCCCACTTCTCTTCTGACCTCCACCCTCAGCCAGCTCCAGGCCAGGAGCCTGGGCTTTGTCCAATTCAGTCTCCACCTCCGGGGGGCCAGCCCCTCAGCACACATGGCTGGCTGATGGTGGGTGTGACCGGACAGGAAGTCACCTGGGGCTTCCTGAGAGCCCCCTTCCCCCTTCCCATCCTGCACTACCCCCTCCAGGCCCCAGGGACACTTCAGAGGCTGTCCACTGTCCACCACAGCCTTAGAGATGTGGAAAAAATGGGGTCAAACCCCAGAGGACCCTTTCACTGACCCTTTCAGAGCTGCCCTCCCCACCCCCAGGCCTGGAAGGGTGCTTTCCTGCAGTCCTCATCCTGGCACTACCCCCTACCCACTATGGCAGCGGCAGCAGAGGGGCCGAAAGACGTGCCTGGACCCCAAGCTGCGCAGGAAGTGGCCAAGGTTCCACCAGCCGACAGGAGACAGGGGAGCCTTCCTTCCCCTGAACCCCGGGCACTCTTGGGGTCTCCAGCTCCCTCAGGCCCCTGGCCCTGTTCCCTGACCTTAGGACACCGGACTCGGCTAGAAGCCTCAGCCTCCCTGCGCGATCCCACGGAGACCGAGGCTCTAGGCCCTCCTTGGCCCAGCAGCTGGGTCTGCGCACGCGAGGAGGCGCCCGTCCATGCCCCGCTCCCGTGCTGCGTCTTACCCGGGGCACAGGAGCCACAGCAGCGCGTATCGGTCCCAGTCCCTTGCAGCCAGCGGCCAGGGCCGCAGTGCTGCCCTCGCGCGGGACTCAGACCCGGACCCAGGGCGCAGAGCAGCATGACCCCGCACAGGGATGCCTGCGGGCCCATCGCGCCCCTCGGCGGTCCTGCTCCGGGGATTTTAGGAGGCCTGGCCTGCGCGGACACGCCCCGCCCCCGCCCTAGTTACCGCCTCCCTTGCTGGCGCCAGGCCTCCCCACCTCCAGCAGGCCGGGTGGTGTCCGGGCAGGGCTCTTAAAGGCCACCCAGAGAGGGTGGGAGGAAGCCTTCCATGAAGTATCCAGACCCCCAAAGAACCTCAGCATGGGTCCCACTGCTGGGAAGCCTGGGAAGCTAGGTGGGGAGCTAGGAGCAGCCCCTCCCACCCAGCCCACCCTGCCGCCTGAGGCTGCAGAGTGTCTACCGGTGCACAGCTGTGGGTTGCCGCTGTGTGGGTCCCCCCCCTGTGGCTTAAAACCTCCAGGGGATCCCCTTTGCCTCTCCCACCGCAGGGAGCTGACACAGCTGCAGACTTGAGAGCAGAGAGGCATAACCCACACCCTGGGCCCTCCTGCTTCTGCGCCTCTGACAGCTGGTGGCTGCAAGTCTCAAAGGGACGTCTGATCAGGTGTCCTGGACCTGCCGACGCCGTCATAACTTGGGTCACATCTCCAACCTGTGGGCAGTCACCTCCCTGAGCCCCCTGCTCCAGGCCCACCCAGCACTCCTGGGCATCACCACCAACTTTCCCAGTGACAAGTCTCACCTGGGGGCTGAGAAGCCTGAGCAGTCCAAGGAGGCTTGCTGATAAAGGCAACCCTTCAAAGAGGCTCAGACAGACAGAAGTCTTGCTCTGAGGTAGAGACCAGAGTCTCATCCTCTATTCCCTCCGGGATGCCTGGATGTGAAAATGAAAGGGACTCCAAGGCAGGCAGGGTGATGAGCACCAGTAATCCCAATGACTGGGGAGGCGGAGGAGGAGGACCTCAAATTTGGAGGACAGCCTCAGCAACTTAGTGAGCCAGTGTCTCAAAATAAAAGAAGAGCTAGGAATGTGGCCCTAGGTTCCATCCCCAGCAGCAAATAAATAAATAAAAGGACTGGAGATGTAGCTCAGTGGTAGTGTGCTTGCCTAGCATGTGAGGCCCTCGGCTCCACCCCTAGTACTCAAAACAGCAAGTGGCTCCAGAGAGTGACAGCAGAGAGATCCAGAGGGGAACCAGCCCCTGCAGTCAGAGCTGCAGCTGGCCCTGCCCTGTGCCCTGGGGCCTGCCAGAAATGCCCAGCTACGGGCCTTCTTGGAAAGAAAGAGTACAGGTGCTGGCCTCTCCCGCTCTGGTCTCTGGATGCTGAGGCTCAGGCCACCCAGAGCAGAATCCCTTCTGTGAAGAGCCCAGAGATCTCTGTGCAGCTCTGGTGGGTCTGAGTCCTGGAACAGAGAGGAAGCCACTAGCCCCTACCTAGATTCCAGGTAAAGGTGTTGAGGGAGAGCCCGTGAAGTCTGGACCTTGCTCCTGCTCATCTTAAAGACCTAAGAGGTCAGGCAGGTCCATGTGAGCACAGGGTCCCCCCAGTCATGGTGAGCACACAGTACACGTGGCCTCTGCAACATGGGACATCCTCTACAACAGTGCTGTTCGTCTGCACCATGAGCCCCTCGTCTTCTGGAAGCAGTGAGGAGGGGCTCCTAGAAAGGAGGAGCCTCCTTGCAGGGTGGGGCCAACCATGCCTTGACCTGCTGGCTTTCAGCAGTAAGGGCATTGTCCCCTGGAGGGGTCCTGTGGAGGATATGGCCCTGGTGTCACAGGGCAGCTCAGAGGAGTAGGCTCTGAATGGAGGCTGCTTCCCAGAGACCTAGTGCCCTGGTGGCAGCGGTGAAGACTGGAGATCAGGATGCGGTTGGGGATGCTGGTGAGGTCAGCAGCCTTCCTGCCCCACCCACTCCCAGGGCCCTCCTGGCGTTTTCTGCCATTGAGTGGCAGAGACGTGCTTTCTGCCTGCTCGCTCTGTTTGCCCACATTTTGTGAGCTTCAGACGTCAGTGGTGTATGCTCACAGCAGCAGGGTCCCTGGCCAAGGCCCCATGAGTCCCCACCTTGTCCAGCAGGGGCTGACAGAGGGTGTGACGTTCCTGGCAGAGCAGCTTCTGGGGCAGAAGGTGGTAGTGGCTGACGCCTGGGCCCGGGCCTGGGCCCTAAGGGAGGATATGGCAGGGCAGCCAGGCCTGGGGTCTAGGCAGGGCCTGGGGAGATCCGGGGATTTTCAGGGCAAGGGGGATGGAAAGTGAGCCTAGCGAGAGCACAGAAGGAAAGAGAAGGTGACCCAGAGTCCCTGGGGCAGGTCAGAGCATCCTGCAGGGGCAGGGGCCCCAGATTCTGAAGTGGGAAGGGAGCATCAGGAGGCTAGAGGGTCTTGCCCAGAGGGACGGGGCAGTGGGTGTGAGCTGTGGGGGAAGGAGGACCCCTCCCCAGCTAGAGGAGGCTGCAGCCACCGCCAGCTGCAGACCACAGACCTTCCAGGCCTCACAGACCCCACCCCACAGCCCCTCCCTCCAGGTCCGCAGCTCTGCCCCCCCCCCCCCCCCCCCCCCCCCCCCCGGCCTACCCTGCTGCCCCAGCTCGGGGCAGGGCTGCATGCTGTCCTGCCTGTTGCAGAACCCAGCGGAGGGGACGGAGCCATCCAGGATGGCTGATGCCCTCGGTGGTAGCTTCAGGTTGTCAGAAAAAAGGTGTTTGGGAAGGGGAGTCAGAGGACTGGGAGCAGGAGAACCAGGCACTGGGGTCAGACGTGCTTTGGACTGCAAGTGACAGGGTGCCCCAACACCACAAGGACTCGATATCACAGCACGTCATAGAGTCAGGCCAGATGGCCAAGGTGGCCAGGCCAGTGAGGGCTGTCCCACCTCAGCTCTGCTTGCTCCCGCAGTGAGTGGCAGCTCCCGACGCTAGCCCCTCTCCCGACTTGTGGATTTGCTCATGTGGTCGGCCACACCTGCTGGCCATTTCCCCCATGGGATCAGGACCCTCCCATGTGGCTTCTGTCTTTAGGTCATTGAGCATCTATCAGGCGGCTGTGGTCCCAGAGCTTGCCCTCGGACCCCTGAGCAGCTGAGGGCGGCTCTGGGACCTTGCACCCCAAGGGGGGTCAGGGCCTCCTGTCTCTCAGCATGGAGTTGGTGTGGCCTGGGAGGCCGTCTGAGCTGTCTTCAGTCGACTGCTTACTCTGCTGTCGGTGGACTTTGGGGCTTGTTTCTGGGGGGTAAAAGCCCAGGAGCAGAACAGCCAGGTCTCAGGAGAGAGTTTGGTCCAAGCAGAAGCCTCTAGATTGACAAAGTGGCTGCCCCATTGGGTGCCCAGCTACCACCAGGGACTCCCCAGGCAATGTGCTCCCACCAGGGACTCCCATGGCCACTGCCCACCAGGTATCGGGGTGGGGCTTAGAGGCTGGAGAACAACTACAACCCCAGGTTTTCCCCAGAGCCGTAGAAGCTGAAAGGGGGCTGGGGCTGGCAGGGCCCCTGTGTTGACCAGGGCACTAGGGTCCTTCTCTCTGACAGGGTTTCCCCCAGTCAGCCTACGGTGTGGGTCCCTCGGAACAGAGGCCTCTGTGCAAGCTCCCAGGCTCCACTCTGCCATCTCCAGTCCCTCCCCAAGACCCCAGGACTCCACTAGGACACTTTCAGTCGCCTCCCACTTCCCACCCTCAAACTGGAGCATGCCACGCCCACTCAGATGAGCCTCTGAGCGGACCCCCACCCCGAGCTTGGCGGAGATCCCTCCCCAGCTAGAGGGGGGTGCAGCCACAGTAGCTGGTGTGTTTATTGGGGTGCCGTTGGGCAGGTAGTATGCACAACATACGTAGGAGAGCCCAGAGCCGGCCCAGCACCTAGAACGGTGTGGAGGGCACAGGTGGGTGGCCTGTGCCTGGGGCGCTGCCCCACAAAGCCCACCCCCAAGATGCTCTCAGATCTTGGCCAGGGTGGAGTGTGCGTCGGGCTGTTCCTCTTGAATGGGGGTCCGGAAGCTGCTTCCCCCTAGGGAGAAGAGGGAGGTGGCTGCAGGTGGGGTGTCTCTCTCCTCCAGGAGGGGCCTGGGCTGCTCACAGTGGACACTCACCGGATGACCTCCAGGCCCTTCCGTGCAGGCGCAGGGCCAGCAGGACAGCCAGGGGCGCCAGGAGGCTCAAGCCCAGGCCCAGGACGGCAGCCAGCGGGAGGCCTGCAAGGAATGTCAGTGAGGGGGGACCCCCACCCCACCCTCCATCCCTGCTCCCCTTCTGGGCAAGGCCCCTTACCCCTGTGGGCCTCTGATGGGGGCGTGGAGGGCCCTAGAGAAGTTCCAGGCAGGGCTGCAGTGGACAGGGCAGTGGTGGGCCTGGCTGTGGGGCCCTGGGTCTCCCAGGGTAGTGCGCCTGGGGAAGTCCTGTCCTCGCAGAGGGTGTCTGAGCTCATGCTGCCTGGTTTTAGGGTGCGCTTCCCGGTCAAGGTGCAGCTGGGGGAGGGGGAGTCGGTCAGTCAGGCCAGAGGGTGATGGGCTCCACACCGGATGACCTCAAAAGCCTCTGACTCTCGGCCAAAGGTATTGGAGGTAGCGCCCTACCCTCCTTCCTCAGGCCACAGGCCTTGCTGCACCTACCCTCCATCCCCATGACCCCCAACCCCTTGTCCCCATTTTCCCCAGCTCCCTGCCGCCTCTGCACCCCAAACCCACACAGCACGCCTCTTCCAGCTCCTGGAGTAGAACCCGGGAGGACGGGGGCCTCACACCCCTGGGGCCCCGAGTTATGATCCCACATGCCTCCACTCTACCCGCAGGGACCCTGCTGTGGGGGACAGGCCTGCCGTTGGGGACAGGCCCCAGGAGCTCCCCAGCCAGGGCTTCCTGCTCCCTGACCTGGCCCAGCCCTCAGTGGGAGCCCAGCGCTCCCCCACCCCGAGCCCCAGCCCCTGCCCCCAGCCCCACTCACTTGGTCCAGGGCTTGCAGGCCTTGTTGTCGCCTGGTGAGAAGTGGCCAGCAGGGCAGGGGGCACAGTCTGCAGCAAGGACCCCGGAGGTCTTTGAGCTCTGACCCCGGAGGTTCCTGGAGTTGGGGCCTGTGGGGCTGGTGCTCACCCCCATGGCAAGCGGGTGGGTGGAAGGCCTCTGGAAGACCCCTGTGCGTTCTGCCCACTGACCCTTACCAGGGAGCTGATGGGGAACCCCATTCTTGATGTGACCCTTCTGGCCCAGCCCGGAGGGGGAGACACTGGGGACCGACTGTGTGATGTGAAACATGGCTCATTCACACCCTTACCAAGGCCTGTGGCTTGAGGGTACCACCTCACACGCACTGGACATGCAGACACTCTCCCACCCCGGGCCAGGGCCACCACAAGGCTCACCGACTCCAGGCTTAAAGCCATCCAGGGGCTGAGTGCCTGGCCTACAGCGGCAGACAGTGTCCTGCGTGGGTGTGCATTTCTTCTTGAGCTCACTCCCACTTCCTGGGGGTGCAGGTGGAGGCTGTGGAGGAGGCTGCAGACAGTGCCCCAGGAAGGGGGAGCTGGCCTCCTCTCAGTGCAGCAGAGGCCAGGACTGAGGGGCTGCTCCAGCCTCATCCCAGGCCCCCCTCTGCAAGCCCTGAAGCCCCAGGGTCTCAAGCCTTCCCTCCGGTGACCTCTCCCTGGCCCCTCTGTTCCTCTGGGTCACCAGACCCTGGTGAGGGCCCTGTGGCCGCTCTGGCTTTCTTCCCCACCCTCCTTGCACCTGTGAGCCCGCAGCACCTGAGCTGGACACTGGTGGCTCCTGGGCTTAGGTAAGGCCACACGGTAGGAACTCCACGTGGCCCCAGGCAAGCCACAGCCGGAGCAGGGCGAGCCTCAGCCCCGGGAGGGGGTCTGGGCTGCAGGGCTGCTTTCTGCAGCTCATGGGAATGTGGTGCTGGTTGTGGCTGCCCCCCTGCTGGCTGGGGCCCTGGTGGGTGGGGCTTACTCTGGTTGCACTGGGTACAGGGCTTGCAGGCCTCGTAGTTGACTGCCTCATTGTAGGAGTCCGGGTCGCAGGGGAGGCACACGGTATCCCTGGGTCCCTCACAGCGGCTCACCATCCCACTACCTGCAGCAGAGCTCAGCACATTGGCGGCTGACCCAGGCTGGCCTGTGGGCACTCACAGGCCACTTCCTGGGCTGCACAGACCCGCGCCTTCCTTCTCAGGACAGGCCCCACTCAGGCCAGGTCCTCCAGAGCAGCACCCAGTGTGCTCCTCCCAGGACACCATGCCTGTGTCCATGTCACCTCTCCTCTGGGTGTTCCCCACCTGGAGGCTACTCACCTGGCTGGCACTCTTGACAGCACCTTTGGCCATTGGGATAGGTGTCTCCGACACAGTTCAGTGCAGCCCTGACTTCAAGCAGGAGCCCAAGGAGCAGAAGGGCAGCAGGCCCCCAAGCCCCCGCGCACGTCCTCATCTCTGCCTTCACAGGAGTCTGGGGGTTTTCCTGGCAGGATGTGGCTATAAGGGCTGCGGGGGAGGGTGGGGAGGGGCGGGAAGAAAGTGTGTAAGCAGGTGCGTGCCTGTTGGCGTGCACATGCGTGTGTCCCTGCATCCCTGTCGGGACGAGCGTTCGTCCTTGCTGATGGCCTGGACAACCCTGTCTTCCAGAGAACTGATCACAGGCTGTGGGAGCCCAACCTTACATGTGACTGGGTCACACTCCCCGGCTGGGTGCTGAGGCGCTCAGTCGCAGAAATCAGGCAGAGCTTTCCCCACCCTTCTTGGGTGCAAGGGTCACTGTCTCGTGCACGGGTGTGTCTTGCTACAGCCCCATGGATGGAGCTACGCTCACCTGTTCCTTTGTAATCTAACCCCTTGCCCTGTTTAGGACAGAATCTTCCATGGAAGGGCCTTGTGTGTGTTCCCTTCTCCTACTGTGCCCTTGAGTGTGGCCTACCCAGGTGTCGGTCAACCTGCTGACAGTGGACATCATGAAGATACTCAGCCCCCTGAAACCTGACCCCTGGCCTCATTTGAATAGCTTCCCTCAATACAAGGGGTCAGCGTGTCTCTCGCTCTCTCTCTTCCTGCGGACCCTTAAGGTCAGAGGAGCCGTCACAGCGACCCCAAAGAAAAAGGTCTTTGTGTCTCTTGTGGGGTTATTTTGTGCAGCCCAGTGTAACTGGAGTGACCCCTGAGCCTTTTAGTCGCGAGAACAGAAACCCGCAACAGGTCACTCACAGGACAGGGCCACACGGAGAGAAAGGAACTCCTGGGGCATTCATTCCTGAGAGCAGCCTCGTGTCCACGACCCAGGGCAGAGTGTGCATGCAGCCACCTGGGCATGGGAAGGGAAGAGCACACACAGGTGCACACCCATGTACACATGTGTACAACAGGGACACATACATGTGCATATGTTATTTGTGATAAAGAGGAATCAAACCCAGAGGCACTTTACCACTGACTACATCCCCGGTCCTTTTAGTTTCAAGACAGTCTCACTAAATTGCGAGGTTGGCCTTGAACTTGCAATCTTTCTGCCCCAGTCTCCCAAGTAGCTGGGATTATAACTGTTTTAATTTTTTTGCAGTACCAGGGATTGAACCAAGAACCTCATGCATGCTAAGTGCTCTACCACTGAGCTACATCCCCAACCCTTTATTTATTTATTTACTTATTTTGGAGACAGGGTCTTCCTAAGTTGCCCAGACTAGCCTTGAATGTAGGAACTTGAACCCCACTGCCTCAGCCTCCAGAGTCACTGGGATCACAGGCATGGCCACCACACCCAGCACAGACTTTCTTTTCTTACATGTGGACACCCTCTGATACCACTCTGGCTTGAAGAAAATGGGTCGGGTAAGGACAGGGAGGGCTCTCTCTGTCCCTTCTGTACCTATTAAATTGTGCCATGACAGGATCATCTATTCCCGAGTTAATTTTAAAAGCTGCAAATGGAGTTCCCCACCTCTGCAGGATGAGCAGAGGGAAGGGGCTGGAAATCCCCCACCCACGAGCCACACAGGTGAGAGTGGCCTGGCCCACCTGCAGGAAATTCCCAGCCTGGAGGCGGGGCCAAGTGGGGACCAGACAGCAGTTGGAAGGAAGTGGAAGGAGAGACCACCCCCCTCCCAAGCCTCTAAGTGCAGTGGGGTCTTGGAGGAAGGAAGGTCCTCATCTTTAAACCCGTGGCCCATGAGCAGCCAGAAGCCTGCATTTGCCAAATGGTTTCTTTTGAGGGTGAGCTGGGGGTCTTGATGTGCACCTCTTCCACTTTGAAGCAGCCTTCCTCCTCTGCCTGCCCCTCTGGCAAGGCTGGTCTCTTCTGCCCATAGCTGTGCATGACTGGCCAAGGGGCTGGCACCTGCCCACAGGTGACCTGAGGTGCACTGAAACCTGGATGCTGGCTGCCCACCCTCCAGCAGGTTCATTTGGGAAGCAGCATCCCCTGCTTGAAGCTGCCCTGCCGGCAGTGACAGTGGCACTGCCTGTGCAGTTCCCATGGCCTTGGGTGGGAAGTCCCAGGTCTGCAGAGGCACTGTCAGGAACTGCCTCCACTCTGTCCACTGAACTCAGATCCCTGAGGTCTGCAGGGGAGACCACAGGTGTAAGCAAAAGGACCCGAGCACAGCCTCACGTCCATGACCCAGGGCAGTGTGTGCATGCGTCCCCCCCTCCCTTGAGTATGGCAGTCACAGGGGTACCCAGAGCAGCTGGGTCACAAATGGCTGACCTGGGGGCCTCAGAAAGAACAGGTGTGCACACCACAGCGTCCAGCCTGCCCTCAGCTCACACCTCGGCTGCTGCACTGCCCACGGGCCAGTTCTCAGATGCCGCCCCAGCCCAGGGCCATGAGCTGAGGGGGACCAGGAGCACTGACTGGCAAGGACAGGCTACAGGCCAGCCCAACGTGGTCACACCCCAGAAGGGTGGGCATCGCCATTTGGGAGACATTACAGAAGGCAGAGCCTGTGGGGACTTTCCTGCTGACACCACGGTCTGGGATCTGAAGTCTTTCTTCTGGTCTACAAACCAATCCAGATGCTAACACACCCTCAGAGCTGTCAGGGTCCACCCATACTGCACAGAAGCAGGTCCTGGTGGAAGATGGCCAGTCACACAGGAACGCAGGGTGGGCCCAGGATGGCAAGAGGCAGGTGGCACATCAGTCGTCCTAAGGCACCCGTCCCGCTCTCCACCCACCCCCATGCTCTGCTGCTGACCCCCACACAAGACTGACTCATCGAAGCCACCCACCAGCTCCATGGGCACAGTCCCCGCTGGTCACAGCTGTCTCATTTTCTGTGGCTGCCCTCTTCCATCTTTAGTACAATCAACTGTTTAACAAAAGCTGGGAACCCCTCACGTGAACCAAATGCCCACCTCAAAAACTTCTAGCGAGGGCTGGGGCTGGGGCTGGGGCTGGGGCTGGGGCTGAGTGGTCGAACACTTGCCTAGCACTGGGCTCCAGTCTCAGCACCACATATAAATAAATGAATAAAGTAAAGGTCGATCAACGTCTTCAAAACAAAGATAGAAACAGAGAAACAAAGACAGACTCTGGTGGAACTGCCTGGCCTAAGACACTCCCAGCTGGGAGGGAGCGTCAGAAAAACCGACTTATTTTAGATCAACGGTCCTTGCGACAGGAATGCTGGCGTTTTCTCAGGCTGCCTGCGGTCCCGTGTGGTCCGACAGGCCCCAGGCCCGCCCAGTGACCCACCCGGGCCTCGTCCAGGAAGCAGGGCCTTCCTGACGGCCCGACCACTGCCAGCAGAGCTGATTCTGTCCTTTCAGTTTTCCAGGAAACGGCAGGAGGTACGCTATTTCCCACGGTGTGGGCAGCCCGCGAGGGGCCCAGCGCTGACGCGGTCAGCACCTTCAGCAGAACTCAGCAGTTCTCAGAAGAGACGGAGCCAGGGAGGCCCAGAGGCCAGAGCCAGGCTGGGCACGCTCAGCTCACTCTGGCCTGGGGACTGGCCACCCGCTGGACCCGCACTGCACAGGGACACACAGGACAGTGAGCAGATCTTTAATGAACCTGGGCCACGCTGCGGCTGGGAACTGAGCCAGAGCTGTGCATGGCCCGCAGGAAGGAAGGTTCTGGGCAGCACACTGTGGCTGGTGGCGACCCCTGCAGGTGGGACGAGCCCCCCCACCCAGGGCCGCTCAGAACTCCTCGTGCACGTTGCGGGCGTAGTCCATGAGCTTGCTGCCCGTGAAGAACTCGCTGTACTTGAGCACCTCCTCGGGCTCCAGGTGCTGGTTCTGGTTCTCGTCCGCAATGGCGATCATCTGCTTGGCCTCGTTGAGGGCGTTGTACTCGTTCATGGGGTCCATATAGTTCTGTGGCAAGTGCCGGCATGGTCAGCAGTCCACTCCCCACACCCTGAGTGGCCCAGCCCAGCTTGTCCTCCCCCACACACCTGGACATGGACACCGGGACAAGCTAAAGAGTGGCACATTCCGTCTCAGGGGAGAGGCACAAGGCTTTATTGCTGTAACCACTCAAAGTGTGGCTCCTCGATTAAAATGCCCACTGGTTGCAGGACAGGGATGTGGGCATGTTCTGGAATGTTCCAGAAGGGAGATGATGATGGATGGGAAGCACACAAGAAGCTGGGGGCCTGAAACACCTGTCTGGGGCTGCAATGGGTCATACCAAACACACTGGTGTGGCCACGAGGCAGGGAGGGCCCGGCCGGCCGTAGAAACCAGGGCTGATGAAGGGCTGAACCGCACCCAGCCCTGCTCACCATCAGAGACACTGAGGGCTCTGGAATAGAGCCCCGAGACCCCCCACACCCGCCTGCCAGCCCACAGGCCCCTTCAGAACTGGGTGCAATGTGTGCTTCCTTCTGGGCCCTGAGAAAGGGTCCAGGAGCCCCCGACACAGGGCAGGGTGTGCAAAGCGACAGAGCCCTCGTCCATGAGGCCAGGGCCTATCCCAGCACCACCAATAAACAGAAAGCGACTGTGGCAACAGACTGCAGTGACAGCTATTTAACACTAAAAAACAAAAAAACAAAACAGGAAAAGACAGAATCCCAACACCTCCCAAGGACCGAGCCGCCAAGTCAGGAGCAGGCCCCATGGTCTTCCGGGAGTTTCTGTCTCTCTGATGTGTCTGGGCAGAAAGGCCAACGCCCACCCTGGGTGGGCCCTCCTGGGAAGTGCTAGGCACAACCAAGGACCCGCCACAGCCAGCCTTACCCAGGTCCACGGCCACTGCAGTGGCCGTCCTCTCTCCAGTCACTGCTGTGGGCTTGCAGGATGCAGCCCTGTCCCCAGGGCTGTCCTCACTCACCTCCAGCTCCTCCATGGTCACGGTCCCATCGTGATTGGAGTCAATCAGCTCCTCAAACTCTCTCCTCCTGTCTTTCACCCAGCTGTCGTCGATGTCCTGGCCCTGCTGGTTTTCAACGGTGCCCACAGGCAGCGAGATGAACTCAGGCAGAGAGAGCTGCTTGTCGCCGTCCTGGTCTACAAACACGGGGCAGGGAGGGGGGGAACACTTGAAAGACACCTTGTGTGGCGATGCAGCAGACTATGAACCCAACAGGTGCCTCTTATGGACCTGCTCCAAAACCTGGCCAGGCCTGGCCTACCCTCCTTCCCGGCCTCTGGGCAGCAGAGTGGTGAAACCTGGCCACTCAGGAAGCACAGGCACTCCAAGTCACGGGTCACCCCCAGGCCTGAGGCCTGCTGGGCCGGAAGCAGCCCAGCCATAGGATGGGCCTTACCCAAGTCCCGGATGATCTCCTTGACCATGAACTTGAGCATGCCCCGGCTGTGCTCAGGGTGAAGGAATGACAGGAACTCATCCTCCGTCAGCAGCAGGTCTGCAGGGGGATTGTCTGCCTGATACCAGCGGTCCCTGAGGTTCTCCAGGACTTCCTGTGCTGAGAGAGGCAGGCCTGTGAGCATCCTGGCACCAAGGCCAGAAGGCTCCGAGAGAGCAGCCTGCAGGACGCACTGAGCTGAGGCCCAGGGCCTGGCCCACCCGGGAGGGCAGGGCCTACGAGGCGAAGCACAGGACCCTCTGACACAGCCCAGACCCCCGTGGCCCTGACCCACGGTCCTGACCCCTGGCCCCGCACACTCCGGCTGTTTATTCCTAGGCACAAGTGGAAATCACGCAGCGGGCTGACTCACCCCCGCAGTCTGCAGGAAAGACGGCATGACCCTGCTCCCTACTCACTGCACGTGCAGCCTCACCCAGCAAACACGGCGCTGCAGAAAACCCAGTTTCTAGAAATGACTGAGGTGGTGAGCAGAGCTTCCCAGGGGCCCTCCCGGCTGGGCCCACGAAGAACTTGTGTACACGGTCCTCGCTCTCTGAAGCGGCAGCTACCTATGTCTGGGACATCCCCACACGTCCCCAGGCAAAACAGGATACCCTCATCCTCCTGGGACCCACTGTGGTCAGTGACCACGTCCTGGTGCCTGCAGCGAGGCTTCACCTGGGTCCTGACTCAGCCCCAGGCCCTATCCTGGCTACAGAATCCCCTCCAGAACCCGGAGCCCTCCTAGCTGTGGCAGCTGGGGGTGACCTTTGCATCTCAGCGCTTTCTGCTCAACAGGCCACCCGGTGGTGGCCTAATTCACAGGACAGACTCTGAACAAAGATGGGAGCCAGGGGTGGTGGCACATACCAAGAGTTCCAGCTATGGCAGACACTTGAGTCAAGAAGATTGCCTGAGCCCAGGAGTCAAGGCAGCCTGGGCGACCAAGACCCCATCTCAACAAACCAAAAATTAAAACAAAAAAAATTTAGGAAGGTGGGAGACACGGGGCTTGGTAAACACAGGCTGCCCCCTTCCCTGGCTGCTCCATGGATGGCAGGACGGGGTCAACCCTGAGACCCAAATGGGACAGGCAGACCTGCTGAACAGCCCATCCCAAGACCCTTTCTCTGGGCAGGATCATTCCACAAGACAGCACAGGAGTCTTGTAGCACTGTCCCACTGAACTACCCTAAGACCTGCTGGCCAACCCCCAAGACACACTCCCTGGCACCTGTGGATGGGACCTCTGTGGGAAGAGGATCTGGATGTGAACCTCCGGATCTGGGGGTTCCCTTGAGAGGAAGCCATGACAAGACATGGAGGGACGTGAAGTGTCCGTCAGAAACACAGCCCAGGACTCAGCAGTGCACCGAGGTGCCCGGGGAGCCACACGAGGGAGAAGACAAAGACCCCAGGCCTCCCCATCCCTCGGATCCCCCAGAGGGGAGCGCCAAGCAAGGAACCTGGAGCAGACTGAGGTGGAGAAGATCGACGTACAGGCTGGAGCATGGACTGGGACCTCAGGGGCACACAGGCACCCAAGATGCCATGAATCCTGACACACCGCTACTGAGTCCAAGGACAGACAGGGACTTCGCATGTGCAGGAAGGACATGTCCTACCCAGGACAGACACACCAAGTGAAGGGGCCCAGAGACGACCGGCCCCCAAAGGAAGATGAGGTGGAAGACAGGGCCAGCCAAAGCAGCTCCCAACTGCTACGCAGGAGGACAGACCCACCCCAGGGCCCCCCGAAGGGGAACTCCAGGGGCAGCAGAGACAGGTGAGCAGGGAGGAGGGAAACCCAAACATCCAAATCCCTCCTTCGGGACAGAGCTGGGCTGGGCAATGGGGCCTGTCAGCCCAGCATGGGGGCTGAGGCAAGAGGACTGCTGGGACCCAGGAGTGTGAACCCATCTAAAAGAAGAAGAGACCGGAGAGGAAAGAGAGAGACAGGAGCAAAGTACTACCATGGTAGGGCCTGCGCACGGGCAGCAGGAGGGCTCACGGCTCACAGGCTTCCCTGCTGCCCACTGGGCCCCGCCCCGCCAGGGAGCCACACACCCCAGCTGGGGGTGGCATGCAGGGCCCACAGGCACCAGCCCCCACGGGGACAAGGTGGACCGATAGGACACCATGGGCCTACCCTATGTGGAGCCAGACGTGGGCCGAGGGAGTCCATCCAGCATGACAGGGGCGAGGGCACAGAGCCAGATGGGTCTAGTCCCCTCATCCTGCTTCACAGGGCATGTCCATGAGACAGTCCTCCCCACGGTCCCCTGGAGCCGGGCCCTGCCCCTGCCCCTGCCCCTGCCCCCTGGTGTGGCATGGCTGACACCAGGCTGAGGATTCCCCGTCGGCCTGCTCCCCACACCCCACACCTGACTGAGGCGGGGTCCCCTGAAGGCACAGAACGCTGCCCGCTCCTGCCTGACTGCTGCTCTGTGAAGGTCTCTGCCAGGCCCTGCCCACGTGCCTACCACTGGGCCTGGGATCGGGGCCCAGGCTGCTCTCTCCATGGAGCCTCCCCTCACGGGGCCAGCTCTCCCTGCCTCCCGAGTCCAGAGATCGGCCTCGATCGTAACTGAGCCATGGCACTGAGGTGTACAGTGTGCCTGCCAGTTATGCACCCCAGAGCACCTACCCACCACTCTCCGCCCTCCCTGCGGGTGCCTCAGGGTGTGTGGATCTCCACACAGCCCCCCGTCTCCCTCTTACCCACCCACCCACACCGTCCAGAGGACACCACACGCACGTGCCCAGGGGTGCTTCACCCTCCCCTATACAACTGGAGCAGATCCCCAGGCCTTGCAAGCTCTGCCAGGCATCCTGTACAGACCTGTGAGGCTCAGGTGCCCTCTGACCACAGCTGGCCACACACACCCAGCAAGGCGACCCACTGCCCCACTGCCCAGGACCCAGCACTCACTCTCCTCGTCCACCTTGAGCTCCTCGTGGTTCCTGATGGCATCCGCAACCTCCTTCTCACTGTGGCCTTTGCTCACCAGGAACTTCACTTTGTACTCATCCCAGGAGACGCGGCCTAGAAGAACAGGTCTGTGAGGACACTAGGCAGGAAGCACTGCGAAAGAGACTCTTAGTTATTGTAGGACATCTGTGAGAGATCCTTTGGTCACAGTGAGCTGCAGGGCAGAAGACCGGGACCACCTGCTCTCAGCATCCCCCCAAGGCAGTGGTCAAGGGGTGGAGCACCCAGTGCCTAGCCCACAATCCGGGCCAGCACCCTGGACCTGCCTTTTCACCAGCAGGGCCAGCGGGGGTCTCCTTCACACAGGGCCAACTGAGGCACAGCCTGGCTGTACACAGGGCAGGAGCCCCAAACTCCTAACAAGCTGAGTTTCTTTCAAGGAAACATGAGGACCACACTTGCTACTCATCTTCCGTGAATGCCAGCCACTGTGAAAACAAACCAGCTGTCAGCAGCTCAGTGTCCCTATGCTGCCCCCTGCCATGCTCAGGGGCCCCTGCCTCTGGCTTCCTTGATCTTCTGGTCCCTTGCCTGGAGCCCTATCCACCAGGCCCCAAGGTACCATCGCCATCAGGGTCCACAGCCCGGAAGTGCATCTTGTTCTCCTTAACAGCCTCCTGGAAGTGCTCGGCCGTCTTCTCCATGATCCAGCGCTGCATCTCCTTGGCACTGATCCTCCGGTCAGTGTTCACATCCACCCTGTGGAAGAGCAGACGGAGGGTGAGATCAGACACGGCCCCCAGAACCCCTGACAGACACCATCACTGGCCTTCAAGACTCCAAAGGCCGCTGCCAACCTGCCAGGAAGAGTGACACCACCCTCCCCATGGTGATGCAGAAAACCAGGGCTTAGGGTTTTCTGGGGGGCTGCTGGAACCCTGGAGAGGTGGGTGGTGTGGTCCGCAGCTGCCACTGGGGGCAAAGTCCATCCGAGGAACAGACCCTCCCTCAGGCACAGCAGCAGAACCATCCAGACCCTGTGGCCTCCACTCATGATGTTCACCGAGCACACTGTGCAGCAGGTGGCCACACAAATGCCTGCCCATCTGCAGGACTTAGAGCAAAGACCCTGTCAAGGGAGGAAGAGATCCAGGGCTTGGGGACAGGCGACAGGAACAGAGGAAGCAATAGGAGCCATGTGCATGTTCTGTGACTGTGGCCACTGCGTTGCTCCCCATCTAGCTAGAAGTGCAACCTTCTGTGACCCCACCCCACCATGCCCTTGACCACAGTAGTGGCCAGCAGAAAAGGTAGGTGTGAGAGTGTGAGAGGGAGAGTAAGTGTGCGTGTGCGCGTGGGCTGACACATAGCCCCAGGGAGACTCCTGGTTCAGAGTCCACAGACAGCTCACCTCTGGCCCTGAACCTCTGCTGACCCAGGCTTGGAAACAGCTCAGGGCCAGCAGCTCCACCCTCAGCCCAGCACCACAGACCTTATGAGCCCAAGCTTCTAGTGCTGTCCCGTACAGGATGTCCTCGGGGCCCCCATCATCTCCCACCATGAGCAGCCAGACTGGACCTTGTGGGTGAACATGGCATGCATGGGCACCTACTTGGAGAAGATGACCATCAGCTTTCTCCGGCTCCTCCGTGGCTCTGCATCCTCGTCAAACCCGTCCATGTCTTTCCCCAGGAAGACCTCCTGGTGGAAGTCCTTGTTAAGGTGCCCGTCCATCTCCAGCTTCACCCCATTCAGGTGGTCTGGGGGCAGGATCTCGTTCTCCTCCCTGTTGACTGCCCTCTCCCGAGTGGAAGAGTGGTTGGCGGGTCGAGCAGATGCGTCCATCAGAAGGATAACACCCAGGAAGCAGAGGCAGTGTGCAGCCAGGCCACAGAGGGGAGCCTGCCTGGACACCATCGCTGTGAGCCAGAAAGCGCGGACAGCTGGTAATGTGCAGGCCAGGAGCTGGACACAGGGGAGCTGCAGAAGGCCGTGGCTCCAAGCAAAGCCCCAGGCACCACCAAGGGCTGAGGCACGGGTTGAGGCCCAGGGCCCAGAGCTTCCAGACCTTGAAAAGCAGTTAATGGTCTAGAAAAAAACACAGATCCACCATTTAGTGCAACTCAGCAAACACTGCAGCAAACATGCTCATCTTACAGCCAGAGGCAGAGGTCCTCATTCACAGGATCAAGACCACGAGTGGCAGTTCTTTTTATTTTGCAGTGCTAATGGAACCCAGGGTAGGCAAACACTGTCATTGAGCTACAGCCCTAACCTCATCCCTACTTTTTTAAGGACCCTGGGTCTCAGCCAGGCATGTGGCTCATGCCTATAATCCCAATGGCTCGGGAGGCTGTGGCAGGAGGATCACAAGTTCAAAGCCAGCCTCAGCAACTTAGCAAGGCCCTAAGCAACTAAGCAAGACCCTGTCTCAAAATAAAAAATAAAAAGGGCTGGGGATGTGGCTCAGTGGTTAAGCACCCCTGGGTTCATTCCCCGGGTTTCTAGCTGTCTCTTGCTGAAAGCGGTCAACTACCCCATGACAATAGTATAACCTGCCGACACAGCGTGACTCTACCCCTCCTCTTCCAACATGTACCTGGGGCTAATCACTCACTGTCCAGGTTCTCACTTGAACACTCTAGAGCTCCATTACCTTGGCTAAGTCACCCGACCTTTCCGACCTCAAGTGTTTCACTGAACATCATGAAGCTCACCACCCCACACATGGGGTTTTGTGAGGACTGGGGACCCTAATGCAGAGTGCTGGCAAACTCTCCCACTCACCCAGGAGGGATCCAACCCCTATTCCCTTCACACTGTAATGACCGACCCCTGTACACATGTGCATATACACATCCCTCTATGCACGTGTGACCCAATACACACATCCTCATTCACATCTATTGGGGAACACCAGGAAGGTGTTTCATGTGCCCCTGAAATCTGTCCACCTGGCAAACCCCTGCTAGCCCTTCCAGGTACCTCTGTGCCTTGTGGCTGCTCTACAGTCCTGTGGATCCTAGTGGGGTATCTTATGCAGCCTCTGTCTCCTAGAACTACCACGCTATCAGCACACACCAGACACTCAGGAAGTGCTGCCTCTGGAGACATAAACAGCAGAGATGCTGCTCTCAAGGTGGTGGGTGGTGGTGGCATACAGCCTGCCAAGAGCCACAAGCTGGAAGGGACCTGGGGTCTCCAAGGAAAGAACTCAAGCCTGCCCTGCTGCTTCCTGGGGCAAGGACCAAGACAGCTGTCTTCTGGTGTTGACTTCATTAACCACTGATATAGACACACACAGGTGCAAAGAGCTGAGCTCTGCTCCTTGACACAATCTAGGCAGTTCTCAAGCCTACCTTTTTTTCGGAACTGAGGGTTGAATCCAGGGTGTTCTACCACTGAGCTACATCCCCAGCCCTTTTCATTTTATTTTGAGACAAGGTAAGTTGCCCAGGCTGTTCTCCAACTACCTCAGCCCCCTGGAATTACAGGCATGCACCACCACACCCAGCTTGATCCTATTTATTTTGATGAATCATAAGGAAACTAGTACTTACACAACATTTAGTGAAAAGTAACTCAAATAATCACAAATATCAGGAGTCCGTCCAGTGAAATTTCTCCTGGGTTCACAGCAGATACTTATCGTGAAAGCAACAACAGGACTGAACCAGTCGGAAGCTCACTTCCTAGCCTCTCCAGTCCGGAATGGGACTTCCTAAGGAGCCGGGCTCCATACGTCACTTCCCCACGAGGAGTCCTTCCCACCCACAGCAGCTGGACGCACCTAAGAGGGTCTGTCAACCGCGTCCCCGAACGTTAACATCTGCCTTGACTCTTCCAAGAAGAGATGGGGCCACACTCAGATAAACTTCCAAGACGGCATGTCCTACAACGTTTTATTTATCACTCTCTGAGCTCCTCCTGGCCCCGGTTCCTCGGTCCCGCGTGACTGTGCCACTGGTGTGGAAGGGACAGCAGTGCGGGGGCGCGGCGCGTCTCCCCGGACGGGGCTGCAGTTCTGGGACCGGCTGCGGCCGCACTCACGCGTAACAAGGGTCCAGAGACCGAGCCACAGTCCGGGGCTCTGCGCTCGGCTCCAGGCTCCGAGCCCCGCCGCCGGGTGGACGTGCACGGAGGCAGCAGGAGTCGGGGCAGCCGAGCCCAGCCTCGGCTTCCCGCGGGCCCGAGGACGCCGGCTAAGCCACCTCAGCCCGCGAACGCAGACCCGGAGCGGACAAAGCGCCTGGACCTCCGGACGCGCACTCGCGAGCCGCTGAGCGCTTCCGGCACAGCCCTCACTCACCGCCTCCTGCACGCGCCGGTCCGGGAGCGCAGCGGAGCGCTCGCGCCGCTAGCCACCTCGGCTCAGGCCGCCGCCATCTTTCTTCCGGGAAGAGGCGGGCAAGCCATCGGGCCGTCGGGGACGTGGGCGCCGCCATCTTTCCCCCGGGCGGAAGCACCCGCGCGGACGTTCCGAGGCAGCCAAGGAGAGTAGCATGCGGGAACACGTGATGAGTGTCCTGGCTCCGCCCTCCCCACCCCGGTAAAAGGCCGGACCCCAGCACTACCGAACTCGCGGCCTCAGGGCGACTTCCGCCCACGGCCCGCCGCCCGGTGGAGCACCAAAGAGAGGCCCACACGCCCGGGAGTGTCGTATGCACGCGGCGCCCCCTCGGCGCCACGCCTGCGCATTCAGCGCGGCTGCTGCCGCGATGAGACTTCCGCGGCGCGCGTGGCGGCGCCGGGCGGCGCTGGGCCTGGGCGGCCTCGCGCTTTGCAGCGTCGCGCTGCTGTATCTGGCGCGCTGCGCGTCCCAGGCAACCGCTACCGACGCCGCCTCGGCGCCCCGCGCCGCCGCCTTTTTGGCCGTACTGGTGGCCAGCGCGCCCCGCGCCGCCGAGCGCCGTACCGCTGTGCGCAGCACGTGGCTGTCGACCGTGCAGCGCGGCGGCACCAGCGACGTGTGGGCGCGCTTCGCCGTGGGCACGGGCGGTCTGGGCGCGGAGCAGCGGCGCGCCTTGGAGCGAGAGCAGGAGCGGCACGGAGACTTGCTGCTGCTGCCCGCACTCCGCGACGCCTACGAGAACCTCACCGCCAAGGTGCTGGCCATGCTGGCCTGGCTAGACGAACACGTGGCCTTCGAGTTCGTGCTCAAGGCAGACGACGACTCGTTTGCTCGGCTGGACGCGCTGCTGGCCGAGCTCCGCGCGCGCGAGCCCGCGCGCCGCCGCCGCCTCTACTGGGGTTTCTTCTCGGGTCGCGGGCGCGTCAAGCCCGGAGGTCGCTGGCGCGAGGCTGCGTGGCAACTCTGTGACTACTATCTCCCCTACGCGCTGGGCGGGGGCTACGTGCTCTCGGCGGACCTGGTCCATTACCTGCGCCTCAGCCGCGAGTATCTGCGCGCGTGGCATAGTGAGGACGTGTCTCTGGGCGCCTGGCTGGCACCGGTGGACGTGCAGCGGGAGCACGACCCGCGCTTCGACACCGAGTACAAGTCGCGCGGCTGCAGCAACCAATATCTGGTGACACACAAGCAGAGCCCGGAGGACATGCTAGAGAAGCAGCAGATGCTGCTACGTGAAGGCCGGCTGTGCAAGCGCGAGGTGCAGCTGCGCCTCTCCTATGTCTATGACTGGTCGGCGCCACCTTCGCAGTGCTGTCAGCGGAAGGAGGGCATCCCCTGAGTCCCAGGGACACAGACTCATCTGCCAGGCCCTCTAGAAGTACCTGGCTTATGCGGTGACAGCGAATGCCAGGCGGCAGCAAACAACACCTAGCCCCCTTCACCCCAACCGCACGCCCAAGTTGTGCGCTTTTGTGGCCACGTTTGTGGTCCTAACCAAGAACATCTTGTGGGTTTGGAGACTCCTGGAGGTGCTGCATAATGCAGCTCCTCCTACCCCTGGTCTTGGCCTACATTTGCCCAGCCTAGCTGCTGCTTCCCATTGGGTGAGGGCAGGAGGAACCTCCCTGGCCCCTGGGGCCAGCAGCTCCCCTCACCTGCGGCCTAACTATGTCACCATCCAAAGTTGTCACTGCATTATTTGGATAGGTCACACTCTCTTGTGTCTTGTCAGTTGTGTCTGTCACATGTCAGATTTGAATTGGTTTAACATTAATTAGCTTTAATGGCATTTTGATCTGTTTCTTGAGTGAGTTCATGGTAAATATGATTCAGTGGTTGCCTGTGACCTGTATGTAAGTATTGTACATTTGTGTCAATGAGAGTTCCACACAGACAGTGTGCAGGTCTCTTTTTACTATTATTTAAGAAAAAGATTTTTATTTCAGAACTTGGAGTTTGTGGGTTAATCTTTCAATTAACTTGAGTGGATGATCAGGCCCCTGTATGTTAAACAGAAGAATTTTAAGCTGTCCATTTGTGTTTTTTTTTGTCACACAGGTCAGTTGTGTGTCTGTTTCTGAACAGACTTTCCTTTTAAGGTTTCCACACAGGCCTTTAGATTCCTGGTTGCTCAGACTTGGCACCATTCTGAGGAATCCAAGCCCTTGGAGTGTTGACCAGGACTTACACACTGGCATACTGACCACAGGAACCACCATATTTTTAACATCCCTCATCCGTCCCTGTTTTTGTGCCCATTGAGTATGAAAAGCTGGGGCTGGGATATGGCTCAGTATTGAAGCACTTGACTAATGTGTGCAAGGCCCTGGGCTCCACACACAAGAAATGAAAACTGTGGTTGTTTCATGAGGTGACAGATGGTGGGAGCCACTGCAGCCTCCAACCTGTGCGGCTGGAGCCCCGGCTTCTTGTCAGGGTTGGGTTCTGTAACTGGGTGGCTGATGTCTTTCGGAGTTCTCGGGCTGTGAATTTCAGGCACAGGATTGGGTTATTTTGTTGGAAGGCGGTGAAGAGGGTCTGTGGCCAGCCATCTGAAGACTTATCTCCCACCCGAGAGCATGGGGCCAGACTGTCCCAGGCTGCAGGGTTGAGAGGAGGTGGAGCCAGCAGTGTCCAGCAGGCCCCTGAAGCCAGGATGAACACCCTGCCTGTACATCAGGGCAGCAGAAGGGCCCTGCCCACTGAGGGGGTGCAGGTTCCCCAAGGGTGCTGGTA